CAAGCCCAAAACTGTACAAGGATACTGTCCTGGGGTTTAATACCCCTCGTGTCGGCATCAGGAATGGAGCACGGCACGGTTATGAAGCTTGCGGGATTCAATCTTAAGCATGATAAGGACAGTTGAACGTTACACGACTTTCAACATTTATTGATTCAGGCAGTTTTAACGGAATTTTCATGTCAGGAAATAATGCATTCGAATGAACCGATGTTCAAGAATTATTTGCTGAAGATACACGGACAAATCCATACCGGTCGTTTCCAAAAAATAAAACGGAGTAACATCTTTAGAGACTGCTTATAAGCACTGTTATTTCCAGGATTCTTAGTTCTGCGATGATCATGCGTCGGACCGTGGAAGCATCTCACACGCGTCTCTGATATACTGTACTCTCTAGGATCAGATTAAGGCCATTGTACCGGTCATGCCGTCCACTGCCAATTTCGAGTTGTTAAAAAATCAGCGCGATTCTGCTTATTCACGAACATTTCACGTTTAGAACTTCCAATACCGGATGCAAGACTGCTACACCCACAGGAACTTTGGGAAGTCTCCTGAAAAGAGAGAAATTCAGAAGTGAAAAAGTGAAACATCTATGAAAACTAGATAGAACCGAATCTAACCCGTGCAATCAAATTAAATCGCACCACAATTCCTTGAGAAGAAATGGAAAGGTCAGATGCTTGACGAGAAGTTCGGAGAGAATTATCGGTCATACAGCGTTCTTAAGCAGTAGTAGTACAGGTGGACTCTCTCCAAAACGATCTTGTCTACAACAATTTATCTGTGCAGTATAATATTTTCTTCGGTCCCACTAGGTTAACTCACCATGTTACAGGGGTTTTCTTACCGGAATTCTCTAACGAAATTCTCCAACAAGATTTGTCTGAACCGCACTACCATCCAGACAAATCTTTAGAACGACTTCATGATCACGACAACCAACCAGAAACTGTGAATTTTATTTTACCTCATTCTGCTGAAACTGATTTTGGGAGGCGGTAAGGTAAAGTTAGGTTAGGTCAGGTTTTGTTAGTTACGAATATCTTTTAACTAACATAACCTGACCTAACCTAACTTTACCTAACCGCCTCCCAAAATCAGTTTCTGCTTTCTTTGGGTTTCTGCTGAAACTGATTTTGGGAGGCGGTTAGGTGAAGTTAGGTTAGGTCAGGTTAAATTTGTCAGAGGGAAGGTACAGAGATAACAGGAAAGTACCCACGAAATAAAGTCCTCAGAACAAGACAAGATGAAGACCAATTGTTAAGCTCAGATATCCACGCGAACTTAAAAGGCTCACCTTGTAATTATTTCATTGTTGGGGTGACACTTTCAGCAAAGCCAGTGCCATCACAGCACATGGAGAATGCATTCTACTACCGCGGTGATGCAAACAGTCGCATTGGTGAATTCTGTCTCACCATCGACGCGGTCATCCTCCGTCGAAATCGAATTCGGGGAACTCCTGAAGCCTACGAGGCCGTACTTCTCTGTCGTTCTAGATTAGGACATCGGGAACTTTAAAAACTTGCGATTAATTTCAGAAAACACAGTTGACTAACCAGTGACACGAACATGACTATAGAATCCATTTCGGATGCTGCATTGGTTTCATCAATAATATTTCTCCATGCATTCCAGTACTGCGGTGTTTAGAACAGTTGAATTGGAGAATTCGGAATACTGCCCCCACCTTAACCGTACAGCGCATAGCCAGGCACGGCGGATGCCCGCACTATCCTCACCGCACGTCTACATGCATGATGCAGGTGTCGCTACAATCACAGCACGATGTACGAACGAAAACAGCAGCATCAGAGACATTTCAGCAGCAGATTTACATGGTCTTCCGGCGGGGTATTCATGCAGGCTATATACCAAATATAGTACAACAATAAATACTTTTCAACTCCAATACTCCGGGACAATAAAATAAAATGCATTTGAAAAATGACAGATGGAGTGGAGTACCTTACTTCTTATTTACGCATGGTTGGCAAACTTTTTACTTTCCACCAGGATTTAGGATGCTATCTGTGTATTTCTGCTGGTGCCATGCAGACGTTCCCTAATATTTTTTTTTGCAGGACTCATGCTGTTGCCAAAATATTCCAAGGGGGGAAAATGGTGCACACTTGGGATACGCATGTATTTCTACACAGTGACCCTGCTGTGCACCTGAGTTTTTTTCTTTGGCACATGCATATGTAGAAAAAAACATAGATTTATTGTTGTTTCTTTCTTTTCGAATTAGGCCAAGGAAAGTTTGGCAAGTGAGAAGCACACACAGGCAAGTTTGATTTCCTCTTGCTTCTGATCCGGGTTGCTGGCTAAATTTTGTGTCGAAAAGAATACTTTTATTAAATATCTCTCATTAAAAGGCCATTCTATTCAGTTTTAATGATGCTGATAATAAATATCCATCGTGAAAGGGATCTACAAACAAATACCATCGATATATTCGCCACAGTGAACACACGAATGGCATTGTTCTCACGACTGTGTACTGCGCTCAGGAACAACCAACGCTTGGAAAAAAGAGAAGAACTGAAGGCACAAACATTTTGGGACTTGAACTTCACTGCTCATTTTTCCTTTCTTTCACCCATGGCATTCACCACTTTCATAACTATCCTTCCACCAGTTGATACCTTCTGATACTCTGGCCAATCGATTTATTTCATGGAACGCGGAAGACGGTGGACGGACTTCTTGCCAGAGCTCACATGCTGTGAGCTGCTAAAATGTGAGCCAGTGCGCCCAAGACATCCCGGGAAAACCACGGGGGAAAAAATCGGTTTCCATTCCCAACCTGGAACCGAATTCCATCTGCCCGTCGATTTCTTAATGTCATTCACATAGTACGAATACCATTATTTTGCTGCCAACATGATCAACCAAAAAAGAAGAAAGAGCAAAAGTTAGTCCTAATTTCTGTAACACAGCTAGAATGCGAAATGAAATAACTTTCCGTGGGATTTTTCTTGGGTGACTTCCCAGAAATCGCTTTCGTAAAATGTTGACCGGAAAACTTTTTGTGTAAGGATCAGAGAAACGAAACAGCGCGCTATTCAATTCCTCGGTTAGAAAATTTCGCTCTGCTCATCACAACGAAAAATCACAGCGGTCAGTTGATTATCTATGGTAATTGAAGGCTTAAAGTCGGTTGCTGGGTCAAATGATTGCGAAGGAAAACCGCGTGTATGCAAAAACCGCAGCGAGCGAGAAAAATGGATGCCAGGTACGAGGAATGACCATTAGAACTCCCGACTGGCAAATTTACACCTCGAAAAGTGAATGATTATTGAACTGTACAGTACATTAAATATTTCCCAATTTTGGAAATTAAATTTTCTTCGGCCGTTATGGATTTAAACTGCGTTGCATTTTTCAAAATCATGTTGCCTTCAATCATTCCTGTTGGAAATGAACAGCGATCTAATTTATGAAGTAAAATCTTGTCTTTCTTCAGCTAACAATTCGGACTGCATCATCCTCTTCGTTTCTCTATTCGCATCAGCCAATCAGGGAGCATTAAAATTGGCTGAATTTTCGTCTGATTTTCAATAAGTACTTCTGAAGGTAATCCTTTTGAAAAATTATGCTAGGGGACAAAAGCCAGTAGATTAAGAATGAGAGAGTCCGTCTGCTGAGACTCCTGAGAGTAATTTTTAGAGAATGACCAGTCTGAAAACTGCTGAGCTTTCGGGGGTAACTTGGAAATTTATTCTTTAAAAATCTTTCTGCCCATTGCTTTTTTCATACTGTCAGTCTTGAGGAAGAAATAATGTTGAGCATGGTGGAACTTCAATGTGTAGATACCCATGTTTTAGAGAGGAAAAAATGATGATGAATTGTCCAACGCTTACATGCTGCTTCTGGACTATTATTTGACCGACACTCAGGTGCATGGAAAACACTTACTCATAAATTTTAATTATGTATGAGACATTTTTTGAAAATTTCTTCGACGAATGCACGGAACTGGAAATCGCTATACTTGATACGTGACACGCATGTTGCCAATTCGATTCATAAATAACTCGGGATTGAATTTTATGACCTCCCTTGTTGAACCTCTGATTCTATTTGGATTCACGAAGCGGGTTTCCTGTAAGGGTTTTATTTCAACCACGATGTATCAGGACTTACGAACTTTCCAAACGTAATTTCGGCGCTCACGAATTTCGGAGCCGTGTAGTGCAGGCGTGCTGAACCTCACCAAGTTATAGTGCCCTGTCACGCAGAAGGTCTATATCCGAAATACTGAACCAAACCAGACAAGAAAGGCTTTTCTGGAAGATCGGCAACTTATTGCCTTCGAACGCCTAGAAACCCTTTCGATCGGATTTCGCCAACAAGACTTTATCAATTTTCATATTCTCACGCCAATGAATTCTTCTGGAGCTCATTCCCAGCAGAGGAACGCCCACTAGGCTTTAAATTCAGGAAAAGAGAAAATTTTCGGTGAGGAAAAAGTGCAAGAATAAATGGCAATACATCGCCGCCAATTTTTTGCCAATTAACCTGCAAGTACTGAAGCACTGACGTCCATTAAAGGGGTCTCTGTACTACACTTGAACCTCACTCAGTCGATTTTTCTTTCAAGTCTACGCCTGATTTTTTCTCATGAACAATGCATTCAAAACCTCTAGAACTCGGAAAGGTCTTTCCCCTGAAACCTTCAATACCTCGAATTTTCTGAGGCCTTCAGCCTGCTATTTTCTTGACACAGGAAAGAGAAATTAAGAATTAACTTGATACATTTTGAGATGAAGTGAAAGATTATGATAGGGTAAATAAAATCTTGCCTCCAAATTCAGCATAGTGTCAACTCATTTAAAAGTCAATTTAAGGCCCAGAATATTACCATCTACGATTTCCTTCCAGCTTCTCCACAAGAAAATACTCGTTTCCATCACTTGGATTTTTTTCCGCTCGTTACCTGAAATTCTACTTGAAGAGGTTTGATTACACAAGAAAATTTAAGACATAGATGGAAGGCCGGAGGCGTGAACGAAAAAAATTCGGAGATGTATTTTGTAGCCGAGAAGTTTCACACAAAGAACAATCCACAAACGATGCAATGGTTACAACGCGGGACACTTCCGAGTACAACGCACCATCAAGAGGGTTCGATGACACGAAGTCGACGAATAAAACGAACTCGTACAACAGCTAAAAAAAATAACATCCCGAATGGCACGTCGAAGGCGGATGCAGTCGTAAAGCACGAAAAAAAGGAAAAAAAATCCTGCACTGTTCAAATTGTCCCATGTTTTCATACACCGCCAGCCTCTCGATACCTCCCGCCGTCCAACGTGACTATTCAGCATAAAAACAATATCAACAATTTCCGTCCGAGACTGATGCTATAACCAGGCTTTTATCGGCAATTAATTTACATCACAGACCGGCGGTTCTTCGCGGGGGAGAGGCATCGGAGTCTCGGGTTAGTAAAACTGTTACCGGAATCAACATGTAACAAGCAAAAAAAAAATTACACGTTATCAACATCATTAAAATCTTTCGTCCGCGTCAGCGGGCTACACCTACATAAAAAGGTCCAGCTCGCGAATTTCTTCTCATCCCGCAGTTTCCATCTCAAGAAAAAAATAGGTGGATCAACGCTGCTCTACGCGACAGCCTTCGGAAAATGAAATCCGCAGGAAATTTTCCCGGAAGCACCCTAAGTACATAATCTCGTCAAACACTTCAGCTTTAAACCCCTACTCCACCCTCATTTATTCTGGACAATAGGTACAAACTCTGCGGACGAAAAGACGAGAGACTCGAAAAATATCCATGCAACTTGCACTCGATTGAATCGATGCTTCGCAAGATTTAAGCTCTAAAAATAAACGGATTGATCCCTTTCGCTCTTTCCCCAAACGATCTCTAGATGCTATTTTTTTCGCAAGAAGAGTGCTCATAAGCACCGTATTTTCCCCCAAACTAACGTTCATAATACTGAGCTCCCGAGGAAAGAATTTCTGACAGCCATTAAAAGATTCCTCAAGGAAATCACGCGAAGCAGATTCCGTGATGGCAAGAGCGATCAATAAATAATGCTCGTCTCTCAGCTGCGCGAAAACATTGAATTAAATATGCGCATATAAATATACTTCAGGGCATTCGACCCACTCCAATATAGAAAAATAGGCAAGAGGGGAATCCAACGCCGGAAATTCGCACTCGAATAGCAGCTCCTCGAAAAATGGCTGGAGGCTCGCAGAGAGGCGAACAACCGACTATGGACGGAAATGATTCGTGCGGCGGCGAAAACGCAAGGAATGCTCCGATAAAATGGACTCACGTCTCGGACGGCCACAGTTGCCAAGGAATGCCTGCAGTTGCGCAAAACAGCTGGAGAACTCTCGCGAAACTCGTTACGTTGGACGAACCAAGAACAAACAAATTCACACTCAGCTTTTTCACTACTCAAACGCACGCGAGGGTCAGAAAATACAGCGCTTTCAGATTTTTCCGACTTCTCAGTAGGAGGAATGCATCACCGTTAACAAAAAGGAAACCACACGCGAACTACGATAAGGAACAAATCGCTAAAAGCAGTTTGGGAAAGTTACAGGCGAAAAAATGACGAAAATATAACAATCTTCCGAGAGATACAACCGTAACCCTGAATGATCGATACGTTTCTCAGCTCGAATCATTCTTCCCTTCAAATGCTATCACACGACAAAAACATGCTTTGCCGGAAATCCGCCAGAAACTTAGCCCAGACACATGAACAGACAAGATCACAGGCAAGTCACAATCGAAAGTGCGTAGGCGCCATGATCCAAATCCTTACTGGGTAAGTGAACCACTTTAAATATTTTAATAAATTAAAGTTTCTATCTTCACTGTTGAGTGAATGTGATGCTCGCTTCTCGTTAAACGTTCAAGAGCAGGGAAATTCAACCTTTGAAATATTCTAAGAATCACTGCAGCAATCACGTCTTCCGCGAATTGTTCTAGCCTCAAGCACATCATTTTTTCACATCGATGGCCTTTATCCTCAGACCCACTCACTTGTTCCCGCGGGTCCGGTTATAAGGGATGTTCTGCTTCAAACGAAGAGTCTCATAGTTCTGTGATGATCGTACGGCGGATTGTAGGAGCATCGGAAACGTGCCATGGAGATACGCTCGAGGACGACGCTGTGGTCATAGTCGCAGTCGTGCCATCCACTACCGACGTCGAGTTGGTCGAAACAGAAGCGTGATGACCTTCGCTACCGGCGCGTCCAGAACTTGCGGAACTGTGGGCCGAAGATCCCGGACTGCTCGAACTCACAGAGCTCGCGGAACAATAGGAAGTGTCCTGTGAACAATAATCCATCAGACTGATTGAACTGAACTTTCGTGATTCTCTGAACTCGACCAAAACCGAGGCAATTCAGTTAAACCACCACCAAAAAAGAATTCCCAAAATAAAGGTTGGGGATCCGAACAGGTATCAGGAATCCGAAGCAAAGTATGAATGCTTCCGATTTTTGCTGTCATAGAAGTCTCCCAGATGACGAAGATGAGTGGAAGGAAATCGAAACATGCAGTGATGCGAAAGTCATAATTCGTTAAAGGCTGAATTCCATGCAAAGGAGTCACAGGAAAAGATTCATATTATACTTTAACAAGAAAAATATCCCTGGAACCATTCATGCAAGACGCATGATCATTATAATTCCGGCAGTCCGCAGACCAAGACACGATGAAGACCAACTGACAATCTCCTCCTCCAGCCACGACAGGTTTGAAAGATCACCTTGGAATCGTTTTGCCGTCCGGGTGACACTTTCGGCAGAGACAGTGTCGTCGTGGCAGATGGGGAATGCATTCCGCCACCGCGGTGATGCAAAGAACAACCTGGCGAGGAAGATCTAGGTGGGGGGACCGGTTTCGTCTTCTTCGGAGATGTTGCCCCACTCGAAAACGGATTTGAAATCAAGCTCTGGAGCAGAGCGTCCACGTTCGTCTCAATCGACAAAGCAGAAGCTGAGGCCGGTTGCCTGAATGGATTCTTATCGTGCGGAACAAAAGGGTTGTAGCCACTGTTTGAATTGGCGGATGCAGTGTCGCCTTCGACGCGGTCATCCTTCATCTGATTCAGATCTTCTTCATCCGCCTTAGCAGCCTGCCTCGAGCGGGCTCGTTTCTGTTTCTTTATCTTAGACTTTGCTGGTGCTCTGACAATATCGTCACCAGATTCCAAGTCTTCCAGGGAGGCTGCAGCATCGGCTATTAGCGGGGCCCTCTTGAGACTTGAAGAGTTCGCATCGCTCGCGCCAGGCAAGTGCAACGTCAACTTATCTCCACCCTACATTCACAGTATTTCTATCACGTCCACTATACTCGTCAATCGTATGAGACATTCAAAGCAACAAACCTGGAACTAACTTAGAATCTAACGAACTAACACGACCAAAAATTACAGCTCGCACATCACAGTGTAGCTACTAGATAAACGTTTATGCCCAAAACTCACGAATACCGAAATAAAATTACGGCATAAATCACGTCGGTTTCGTGAATTATGAGTTTCTTCTTCTGAACTTGACGGAACTTTCGCAAGCAGGAAATATAGCACGCACATAAAGCAGAAGCAAAATCAAAAATCGTGAAGAAATAAAACTTCCGATAGCAACAACTCACTATTTACGGTCGTTTTCAATCAGAATATCAGCGAATAAAAAAATTGCGATAGCATGAAGGTACTAACCACAGAAACAAACGTGGCTGTCGAATCCATTCCAGATGCTGCATTGCCTGTAGCAACATTATCACTGGTCACTTTGACCTTCGACGAGACAGGAACACCTCGCGGGCCAGCATTTCCAACGTAGCTATCACTGCAAAACGAACAAAATCACATAAAAACTCGTTACTTGATTCAATTTTGAGTTTTGACTCACCATTTCATCCTCGGAAGACTATCGTGGGATGAATTGGTTCTGCGGATTACAAACAAAATTTAAAAATTACCGTGGGGGTATTTTTTTTTAAAGAAAAGGATAGGAAACTCCGACAAATCTTCTCGGAGTCGACATTGACTCAGTGAAATCATGCCAGAACACAATAAAGTAGTTTTTTGGAAAACGGAACTACTCACCCATTCACAACATATTTCGTCGTACTGGTAGCTTCAGCGCCCACCGGACTTTTGCTCCTCAGTTCATCCTCGATCTTGGCTGAAGAAACCATTCCAACATTCTATAGCTTAAAAATATTATAAAAAATACCTGAAGAAACCTACCTTTCAGAATGTTGCATTTGATCTGATCTGTAGGCAAAGGTCGTGGCTTCGCTCCATCAGTCCGTTGATTATTGGGCAAAACAACAGTCAACGCCGGTATATCCTTAGCTAAAACCTTGTTGCTGACGGCTTTTGAACCGCTTGTTTTCGTAGAAACTTCCTGATCAGCGACGCTTTTACCGGACACATTCAGTGCCACCAGTGCCTCAGAATCTGACGCTGAACAACGAAACGTGAAATTAAATTTCCAGTCATTTGGCAAGGCGTATTGAATAAAATTTACCATCATCAGCAGGAGTGGAAAGCGGCTCCAATGAAGATGAGTCCGACAAACTCGCGGCCAACGGACTTCCAGTTCCAGAAGTTGCGCCACGAGTTGGAGAGACTTTCTGATCTTTCTCGTTCTTCTTCGGTGAGCCAGGTATTTCCGGGATGGCCGAATTATCAGCCGTTCCGTCGCTTTTCTCCTTGATCTGGAGGGATTTTATGAGATGGTCCAGACGTTCTTCGGCAGAGCCGTCAGCAACGATCGCGGACTGCGAATCGTCAATCGATGTGTCCATCAAATCCGCGGTCTGGGGAGTATCTGAGGTCTTCATTTGATCGGCTGCGGATGTTGGAACGCGGCGTTCACGCAAAACGTGGCTCTGGCGTCGAGCAAAACGTTGACTCGGTCGTCTTTCAAAGTGGACCGTTCGTCTAGTTCGTTGCAATTGCGTCGTTTGGAACTCCGTCTTCCCGCTTCGAAAGACATTGGGTTTCATTAATATTTTGTAAAATTTTCGGCGACAGTTGACACGAGGCTTCACACCGTTTCGTTGGCCAAATCATTTCAACGACGCGCGAAAGTTTGTCAACCATTTCATCGGTACCAAATAACTCGCTTGTAGCTAAAACACTTCCCAACTTCTGAACACAGTCCAGTCAACATTCAAATGACGTCCTTGCTTGAAGCAGCTTCTCATTTATCAATAAATCCAGCGCTCATGTGGATCCATTGATTCTTACTAAGATAATTATGTCGCAGTTCGACATAATCGGCCCTTCTGAATGAATTAGCCCGACAATGAAATAATCACGAAGTAGACCAAACGAACCTGTAGCGGAACCGTGATCCCATTCTGAAGAAATTTTGCCTAGCATTGGGACCTTTCACAGGTCCTTTAAGCCGGAAAAAGGCGTGGTGTTCCACGGCACATTTCCACAAATGTTTGCAAGCTTTGTGGTTATGCAACCTGCAAATGAAAACTTTCTTCGTACAGTAATGAAGAAAAATCATGAATAGAGCATACGAACCTGAAAACGAATGTGTGTTCACGTTCACCGCCTTCATCGTCATCTTCGACTACAACAAGAGACAGCTTTCGGCGTTTAAAATCCAATCGAGTGATTTTCGGCCTATTCGGCAAAAACAAAAACAAAATCGGATAAGAATCGATCGTTCATGCTTTTCAACCAAAACGCTTACCAGAAAAACAGCCCGATTTTTTGTTCTCCTTCGTAAACTAGGATTCCTGTTGGAGTCAGACCGAGCGAATACTCACAGCCGTCTTTTCCCAGAACTGTGTGCATATCAACCCCGTACGATTCGATCCATTTCACCTTGTTCAGATAGTTCGCTTCAGCCTGCGCTGGCGTCTGACCCCTAAAATCAGATTTATCGTCAGTAGGATACACAGACTCTTCACGAGTGTCATCACACTTACTTGCACTTCTTGAAAGCTTCCAAAATGTCAATTTCCATTTGTTCAGTCTGGTTCGGGACGAAATGAAATTCAGACACGAAGGCTGGTGTATGAATCCCCTCTTCGTGATCTCCTAGTTCAGCTGCATTGAAATAGCGAGAAATTAGAACTCGATGAATAATGATGAACCATTCCCGAACAATAGGGAATGCTTGTTTTCAATCCTCACACTGCAAATCGTAAGCTGCCAATTCGATCATGGTTTCGTATGGTACGTCCATCTTCCCGGAGAGAATATCGTATTTGATTTGCAAGAAGAACTGGTACCTGTGACATAAATACAAAAATAAGTTCAAGAAGTTCACGAGTGCTGTCCACACATTATACCGAGTCAATTCTTCCCGCAGCAAGTTCGGTTCTGATGAATAAAACTTCACTTTCAGTCTCAGCGTGAACGGCGGCCCAACTGAAAACGATATAAATATGAGCTAGGAATTGCCCTCTGATCATATCTAGTCAAGGTGGCCCACTCACTTTTCACTTGTTTCTTGACGGGCTTCGTTGGGTCCAACCAATGTTGAACATTCATTGCATCAGTGAACTGCAAGCCAAAATAATCCTTCTCGATGAGGTCCAGGGAATAATACACTTGATCAAGAAGTTCCGACCCCAGAGCTTTTTTCTGTCGAAAAATGATAGTTGTTGAACAATCACCATGTCGACGGTTTCCCAGAAGAAATCAAGAACATACTGGCAATTCGATCGTTAAATCGGATGCATCGGGTAAAACAATCTTGCAAATGATGTAATTCTTCTTCGGTTTGCTTGGATTTTGCTGAGTATTTGTCGCAGCTTGAGCTGTGGCACCCAAAGATTTCTGGCCAGCTCGGCCCTTACGCCGACTCCTTCGACTAAAAAATCGCAGCATGGTGGCGATATACTTCCGCGCACGATCAAGTTAAAGACATCTCATCCAGCTACGAAGCTACATCAAAGGTCGGGTCGATCAGCGCATGTCGCAATCGATAAGAATTGTTGATGGCAGCAGCAAATGTACTATAATATGCGTCCCGCTTTCGTAAACTGATCGAGATTCACGAGAATACGAGACCGAATTCTGAAACGCAGAAAACATTGTAGCAACGGAAATTTTCACTCACCATACTTTGCACAGTTTCACCATAACCACAACTGACACGTGAGATCTCGAAAAAAGTTAAAATTTCACCAACAACTTGGAGCTCCATGCAAGGGGAAACAAGAAGGCCCAATGATGGGTACCAACAAAGCCAATGATGGGCGCCATATTCAAAGTATTTACTGACCTCTAACAGCAGCAACGCGCAATGCGCGTAGAGGCGCATCGGTCAGAAGTCAAAGAAAACTTGGAGTTCACCGCTAAGTACGATGAACCCTTACGAATCGAGGTCAGCACGATTTTCCATCGTACTGTTTTCTGGGATAGACGATCCATATACAGCTTTTACATGGGCTTTAAAAGTTTAGGAGTCAGATTCACGAGTACACCAGAGTTGGATTAATGTCTTAAATTCTTGAATTTTGCTGGTCTGAAACTTGGACGAAAGTGCTTGAGAGAATTTTCGATCTATGTTACTGCAAATATAGAAAAGCTTTCCGGTCACACGCTGAGCTTATAGCTCATCCGAGCTTTGTATTTCATTGAGCACACTCAAACCCGCGAGGACCGCACTGCTTCTCCAAAAATATCGCATCAGAAAATTTTTAACGCGATTTTACTGGAGAATTGTACAGTTCTTAAAATGTATCGAATTTATATATAGTACTTCATATTTGTACATTAGTAAAAATAAATATATTCAAGCGAAAACATATGAAAGCAACCATCGCAGAATATAGTACAGTACAGTACTTTATATTAATTTCCAGGATTTTACAAGCATCTTGCATTGCTCTGAACACTTTCCACCATAAACATCGGCAAAAATTTGAGCGATTAAAGCTTCATAATAGAGCGAGTTCAACTGTTCAAGATTCACGTTGAGTCAAATCTTACATGATGTTTATATGTCGAAGGAAAAAAACAGTCCGTGCAAAACCTCATCTGAAATGGCCCAATATTAAATACAATATTTCTTATCAAGCAGAGGAATGAAAACACTTGTATTTTGAGGTTGATCAAGCCCGATTATAAAAATCAATTGACCCTTTAAATAATCTCAAGAAAATTAAGTGAGGATTTTTTTTTCGTTGGTGATGTGGAAATGTCTTTATTACCAAAGCATACTGTTTTTCCCGATGCCAGATAGTGTTGAGTTTGATGGGTGCAAAGTGAGCTGCAAGATTTTGGGTGCACATTGCAAGATGTTAAATCCATAAATTATTTCTTTCGACGATAAGGACTTTTTGAAACTTGCATAGATATATATTTGTTATGCTCATCATTCATTTTTTAAAACGTGTTGGCCATGAGCTCATACAATGCACATGAAATAAAAAATTTAAACGTAGCAATGTACAATAGTAATTCTATTCGACGACGAGAGCCAATGATTAACCTCATAAACACGGTGTATATATGTGAACTGAAACTTGCTACCAGCAGCAATAATTCAGTACAGGTTTAATAAAAATTCTTTACAAACCATTCCTAGTAAAATTTCGTTATATATGACCTCTGATTCAAGTTATGATAAACAAACAGTTCTGGTCGTGTGAACGAAGGTGCTGACAGACGTATTTTACCCCACGAAATTTGCTCTTTGTCATGTTTCTGCGAAGGTCTTATCTGCTTGGCCAATCACCGTCCGGGGCGATGAACGATTAGGTCAGTTCATGGTTGGTCAGTTGAGATGCATCTCAATATGCCCGGCAGTCGACGAGAAAAAGGACTCTTGCTGTTCCCAAAAAGTCGTCAAGATTTGAACATGCTTTCAAAACGCGCCACTCAAACCCATTCAACCGCAAAGCGCAATTTCGGAGCAAGAGCCACGGAAAAATCATTTTCTTCTTCGATATAATGTATTCGGTCGTTCGAAACCCCGAGTCATGAATGACCGAGGAAATTATCAGCACCCACTTTCGTGAGCCAAGGTCAGGTCAAGAAATAATTCACTCACGATTCTCGAAGATTGCTTTAAAATGTACTTGGCCGGGCGTTATTTTTATAATATAGTCTTATTTCCATGTGGTATATCAGAGAGAAACGCAAAAAATAAAAATAAATCACGACATGTTCGAAAATTGAACCGATAAATACTCGGTTGATCACTCTTCTATTGTTCGAAGCAATTCACATTTGTTCACTGTATCGTTAAATATTTTTGATGGCCTCGCAGTTGTTTCTTTCAATCTATAAGGGCGTCCTTTTATGGAATTCCTCCACTCGTCCAGAATATCCAATATAAAAACTCATTGATTGCTTTCGTGAACTTCAGTCCTGAAATATCGCGTTCTGACTTTGTCGATGTCGTGAAAAAACTCTCCAATTAAGCATGTCCCAGTGAGCAAGCAGTTTTCCGTTTTTTACCCAAACAAAATTATCCCAAATGTTTGTCAAAAATGGGCAACATTTGCACAACTTTGCTTGGATAACTGTGATGCCTATTATCATACAAACCTCAGTAGTTTACTGTACAATAATGCTATGGTGCTGGCCGCAATCCTGGGCTGAAATTTGTACGCATTGAATTTAGGTAGATCAGTGTTTCTGAAAGTTTGCATCCAAGGTTATTAATGAAAAAATATCCTGAAAATTACCAGGTAATTCTATAAACTCAGATTTCAAACAAATTTGTCCACTTGCCTCGACGAGGAACATTTTCTGTTGCTCACGATCACTTGCTGAAAGTTTGCGAACGGGTTTAAAAAAATAAACACTCGGGCTAAAATCAGTGTTTGATAAAAGAATTAATTAAAAATGAAAACCTTGACGCGAAAATTGCGACGAGAATACGACTTACGACGGTGGGTCACAAATGTGATGAGGTATAAAATGTACAGATTGCAATGCAGCAACACTCAGCTTAAAGTGAACGGAAATTGCACATCGACAAAAACAACGCAGTGAACTTCATTCAATTGAAGCCCTGAAAATATTTCCAGTGCATGCTTCAGTATAATACTACAGAATCAGGTTCCTATACGTAGTACAGTACAAGCATCGCTTTAGTTTCGCGCTAATTAATAATCGGTCCACGATTGAAACCCGCTGAACTTGATTCACATCGTTCAGATTTTAAATTGTACAGTTTTTCAAAATTTTCAGCTGATTTTTTTCAATTACAGGCGAAGAGAAAGAATGGAAGATGGTGTCGCTGGCGGTAAAAGGACGCAGAATTCCTGGCACAGTTTCGCGTACAACTTTTCATGTGTATCCACAAGCAATGTTCCTTTTTGCAGCTTTCCGCCTGTACAATAAGAAAAAGCCAGTCGCAGCCTTCACGCACAACTCGTCGTCGGCTAATGCGGTCCTTTGATGAGTTGACGAAACAGGGTTCCTTTATAAAATCCTGACGGAGAGAAGGCGGAAAAGGACTCCGGGTATGATGACGCACTTGGGTACAGTACTGCAATATATAATCTGCGAGATTCAATTCAAGACAAATTAAGCGGGGAAAAAAAAGACGAGGAACAAAGAAATGCTTCGTTATACACGAGCTTCAATACCATCAGCATCAAAAGGTGCAAGGGAATCTCTGCATGGAACGTATTTCTTCGATCAAAATCTCCTCCCAATAAAAATGTGTTTAAATTTCTGTAGAGAAATGAGAACCGGGGTTTAAATGAATCCAAAATGGGCAACAGTATAATTAAACCCTACAGGAATTTTTTATACAGCATTATCTTTCCTTTATCGTTTTTGCATTTTGTCGCGGGAAATTAAATTTGCGAGATGCATTGTTTTTAAGCAAGAACAGGGATTTTAAATCGGTTAAAATTGTATTTATAGTTGAGTATGGATTTTCGTTTCTTATTTTAAAGGGAGCAATAACATTTTGGAGCTGGGGTGAAATCAACCAACGACGAAATGAACAAGTTCGGTGAATTCGACGCATTGGATTGATCAGCTTTCAGGTACCAGAGAACCGTCATCAAATGTCAGAGAACCGATGATTGTCCCGATTAAAATTTGTTTAAATTTATGAAGAGAGAGGAGAACCGGGGTTTAAATAAATCCAAAATGGCAACAGGGTAATTAAGCCCTCCAGGAAATTTTTTTTCTTCCTTTTATTTTTTTCGTTATTTTGTCGCGGGAGAAAATCATTTTGACGAGAGGAAACGTTTTTCTAGCAAAACAGGGGACTTTAGCTCGACTTCAATTCCTTTAAATCGTCGAATATTGAAGTAAAACTTTTAAATTTTGTAACTGGAGTAAAATCATTGAACGAAAATTTCAAAAAGTTCGATAAGTATGTAACTTAATTTCAACTGGAGCAAATTGATATCACGAGATGTAAAAAATTCCATTCCTCTGACGAATTTCTCTCGAGATTACTGCGTTGGTTGCTTTTTTTCTGCTGCTTGATTTTCTCATAAAAATTCTTTTTCGTGAACCCCAGATTCTCACGATTAGCAAACTTTCAATCAATGCCGCACTTTTGTCGTTTCTTTCCCGGCGTTTGCCAGAAAAACATTCGGCAATTACCTACTCCAAAGGAATTTTCTCGCGCCTTGAAGATACGCCTGTTCGCCTATAAGAATTCCCGTCGATCCAGATTTTAGTAGCTGAATGTAATGAAGATAATCTAACAGAAAGTTTGAAAAAAAGGATCTTTTCAAAGCATGAACTTGTTTACAATTTTTATCTGAATGTTTTTTAGTTTTAAGTGGCAATTTAAGAAGGCTACGAAAAGCTGCGAAAAATAGAATTGCTGTTTATCGGCAACTTACGTAAAGGGGTATGCGCAGTGGAGAAAAGGATTCTGCATCCTTTGATCTTAGCATATGGAGATATTTATTCACAAGGGTTAGCAGAGTTAAAAGTTCAATAATTTCAACGCCGGCAAGCATTTCAGTTTACCGACACACTCATAATTATCAATTAACAATTTATTTGATGAGGCAGGTAAAAATAACAAGAAAAGTTTCGGAACGTCGCTAAAACACAATCGTTGTTCGGGATCGCTCACAGCATTGAAATTTATCCACATCACAAGAGGTGTCTTCATCAAGCTTTTAGATTCTCAGTTTCAACTGATTTGT